TGCAAAACTCTAGGCTGGTTGCCCTGCTATACGCTGTTTCCTTAGAGAAAGGGTGGAGTAGAGCGTGGCACAGAGGTCACGCTACTTCAGTGCTTGAGAATCAGAATCCGCCATCGGCTTCAATATATGAGAGCTCATTTTCTAAGCAGCTGAACAGCGACAGCCGCATTCCAACCAATGGGTGATAATGACACCAGAGACTCGTTGGCTGACTGTTTTGAGCTTACCGACTAATCTTCTCGGTCATCGTACTCATTCTATTCATCAGACGAAGAAACTTATAGCGTACCTCTCATAATATTTTTTTAAATACAAAAAATAACATAAATCATTAACATATATTTAAATACGAATATGAGGAGCAGGAATGGCGAATTTTCTTCCCAGTCGGTAGCGGAGGTAAAAATAGCCAGAAAATGACTTATGTATGCATTGTTCGCAATTACATCGTTATTTCCACGGGATGAAACAGATTTCCATTATCTTATCAGTACTTTCAATGCACAAAATTTGATTGATCACTGAATGTACACGTAATTTTATTTCTTTATGTTCTGGCAATTAATTCTGCATACGTTGGCAATCTTAAAGTTTATGGCAAATCATAAAATTAAATAAATTCCAAAATTTTTAATTCATGGAAGTACATAAGTGATAAACGGGCCGTAGTTGCAGCATTAACAGATGCTCTCTGAAACCTTATCTAAACGAGGGAAGCCAACTCTATGAAATAACGGTGAGTCACTGAATTTTTGGTAACGTAACAAGCTTCTGAACAGTGAACTTCAAGCTATGCAGTACTTGGGCTACATTAAATATAACGGCTTCAAAATGAACCTTTCCAGAATTTAATTAATATTTATTGATCATTCAGAAGCTGATGAGTGATACAAGCTTACTTCACTGCGAGCTTGGCATCGTATTACGTCGAAGAATTTCTTTTCAGCCAACTGCACAAGTTATTGCTTCTAAATGAATTTTGCATTTGAAAATGCAAATGTTGAATATGCTGGAAAATATGTAAAAATAATAATAACGCAAATAATTTCTCCATCATTTACAATTCTGCAGTCATAAGCTCGCTTCCTTATTCGCTGGTTTTAAAACGCACGAGTTTATTTTGATAAAGCCTCTGGAAGACTGGCGTCAGACTAGTTTTTTCAACTAGGATGCCAATTTATAACAAATATCATAAAATGAAGTCAGCTCCACTGCATATATTAAATTTCGGCTTAACTCTATTCTGAGGCAAACTCACAGTAGATCGTTGAAAAAAATCAGTGACCAGGATGTTCCAAGTGTAAGTTATTTTTTGACAAACTTCTCAAGTGTTTCGGCCACTTTCGCAATATTTGCGTAAGC